AATTCACTTCGTGAACTCGGCAACCAGGTTACAGTTTTTGTTTTTCCTCTGTTTTTTATTTTTGGGGTAACCATAATGGTGGTCGAGTAGATCATGTTGTGCGGGGTCGAGAACCCTCAATTCGCGCAAGGAGGATGATCACACCACATTGTGTAAAATTGGTCAAGCACCCTCGAGGCAGTTACACGGTGCGAACAACTGTCTCAGGAAGTGAAAGCACCAGAAATTCCATAGTCATACGCAGCTGTCATCCGTACGCAAGGAAGTAAGCACAAGATGCCGAACACCCTTAGCAGGTTGCAGCGCACCCTTCATGCGACTCGCCGAATATCTCACGGCGCTTCGCGCTTGGTGATGTGAGAGCCTGGTCCGGTGAGAACCCGTCGTGCTCCGTCCCGGCTTTGTAGAGATGCGAGATCAATGGTCTAACGACTACGGCATGCACGACTTTGTGTATACCCCCTCCCTCACGGATCCCGGTTTTCGATTAAGTGCGCCTAGACTATGTGTCTTGGTTTTTTTCTTCACGTTGACCCTAATTACAACAAGAAATTCTCCCTTTTTGCTTGAAAAGCTCCCCCGAAGGCCAAGGAAGAATGGTCTCAGAATCGGCTTGGCACCCCTTTGTTTTTCGCCGGGATCCACAGTTTGATTCCCGAGCGAGCTGTCTCGCGATGAGGGCGGTCGAAGCCCTTGGATGGCGATGTGCACGCCGTTCTGACAACGCTTCTCACCTCCTTGCTGAAACCCAACTGTTCACGCATCTACGTGTTCGCCCGTAATGTTTACTCTCCAGCCCGTCGAAAGCAAGAAGAAGGCCCCCAAGGGTGTCTACGTGTGTCCGACCTACATGTATCCTTTGCGCACCGGTTCGCGAGAACGGCCTTCTTTCGTCATTGCCGCGGAGCTCCGGGCGGGGAAGCACCCGTCGGAGTTCTGGACCAAGCGAGGTGTTGCCCTGCTCTTGTCTATTGGCGTTTAGGTGTCCAGGCACTTCTTCGGCAGTCCATTGGTGGTTTCCGTTGACGCGTTGGGGTTCTGGCCCCCTTCGCGGATGCTCGGTTGAGACTATATTGTTGGGATGTTTTTCAGAAGGATGTTGGAATGAAGAGTAATGAGGTGCGGGATCTTGAGAGGTCTACCCGTCTTAGAGCTGGAATTAGGTTCATGAGGATAGGCTCCCGCTGCTCAAGGGTTGTACGGAGTGCGGTTGCAGGTCGTCGAAAAGTCTAGGAACCCTTCTTGCGAGTTACACGTCAGTAGCACTCGTCCGTGTTGCGCTTGGATCGATCTCACTTCTCGTCTTGCCACGGTCGTTGTGAACAATGAAGTTCGTATTAAAGAGGCAGTCGTACTCTCCATCTCTTGCAGGCTCAGCACGATTGGCTGATACGCTTTCCTTCCTCTTCATCGTCACAATCTTGTTTCAGCCGTTTTTTGTTGTTGTTGTTACTTGGGGGGCTGTACTTGTGTCCATCGCTGGGTACCAACGTGGCCGCTGTCAAGTTGAATCATGTACGATCGAACGGGGTTCGGAATTTGTTGTGCGACTTTACATGTTTCTTACTAACTGGCTTTTAAAATTACTAGCGACGAAGAACACCTCCCCTGTCAACATAAGACAGGGTGGAGTTTATGGCAGTGCAAATGGCATGGGTGAAGTTTCGGGCACCTAAGGTTTTGGTCTGAGAGAGTGGTGGTCTGAGAGAGTGGTGAATGCTACCAGAATAATAGTGTTGGTGAAGCGAAGATTTGTTGCAGTAGCGTAGCAGACCTACTTCAAAAGATTATGTCAGTGTGGGTGTCATCGACGTTAGCATGGCCTGGCGTAGCGTAGTGTGGCGTACATCGTACTAAAATTGGCGTTGTTCACCGTGCATGATGTTTACGTTAGGACAGCTCCGGCAACCCTCGTCAAAGCGATGGTACTGTCCCTAGATGCGGTATTTATTTGTGGCCTGGATTCGCCGCATTGTTCTTCGCAGACTCGTTGCTTCGCGGTCCGCGAGAAAAACCGAAACTTCAATGGGAGGAGAGACCTCGAGATGCGTTCATGGTCTGTTGCCTGCGAAGTGGTAGTATATTTTTTACTGCTAATATTCGGTCATGTCCCTCCAGAAGCGAGGCTTAATGGAGAGTGTTCCTGGGAAGTCTAGACTTTTGGATTTCCGACATCCCTAAGCTCCTCCCGCCATCCCCAAGCGCTGCACTTGCCTCCCGTTGTTCCTCGAATCCATACGGTCTCTACGGTATGAGAGGCATAATCTTTCCAATAACAACGTGATGAATGAATGAAATTTTGAGGTCAGTCACCAAGCTCCGAACCATGAAAGTTATGCTAATTACATATGAAAAAAATTGAGTTCCGACACCCCGAGGAGCGAGAAATCACCCTTCAAGACGTCCCAAAATATATGTGGGCGTAAAACTCGTCTATCTACCATCTCGCAGAAGCTCCGTCCCGTCTACAACAAACACGCCACGACCGGGATGATCGATCGTGTTACTATTTTTTTACTTCGTACTTTCTTTCCTGCCAACGCGAGGTCCGCGAGTTCATCATGGATGGATAGCCTAACTTTGACGCGGTGCTGCCCAATACCGTCGTTGACTTTACTGTTTATACTACACTCATTACGTTGTTCGCCCCACGTGGTGAGTGCTGAGCGATCAGAACCAACCAGGCTTCATCTCCGAGATCGACCTACTCCATCGCCAGAGCACTCGCGGCACCTGCAGCCAGGTCAACCTCGCTGCCTCCTCCCGACCTATTGAGTCTATGCCCTTACCGCTATGTACGAACTAGACTAACTGTAGACTAGTTGGTCTGTCTACATGTAGTGCCGACCCACTCGTGATAGTCATTTCGTTGATTACAAGTAGTTCCGGTGAGAAAGTACAGCCGTAGACTACTTGCTGCATGTAGACTTTCCGGGCGTCTATTACTACTTCCACGAGTTTTCCGAGTGCCAACGTTTATTTGTTGCCTTGTTCGCAGTTCACGTTTTCTCATGTTCCGCGGGCGGGACTGTTGACGGGACTGTGGAGTTGTAGGACAGATGGGGTACAGGGGCCACAAACCGGCATGGGGCGAGCGGACGTTGCAGCGGATGTTGCGTCGGCTTGCGTCGGCTCGCGTGGTTCGCTGAGTGAGGTCGGTCGCGCGCCACCTACCGTGTGCCGTGTCGAGTGACAGACTCTCTTGTAGCAGGCCGATGCGTGTCACCCTTGTTTATTGCCGACTGCCATGGTTGTTTGAGCGGTTTCTTCGCCAAATCAAATCTCGGCGTGTTGCTCTACTTGCCAAAAGGGTCGGTCCTCACACCCCTGCCCGCCGGGGTATTGTTCTGAGGAATGCAGACCCTTGATTGCCGCGATGGTGCAGCAGGGCGAAGTGCCGATGCAAAGTCTTCTTCGGTGCATACGCGAAAGGGCCAACAACGGCCCCCTAGGAAGCGAGCACGGGAAGCACGGCGAAGGAGGAACAGCAGTGCTCTTCTCTTCTTGCCGGCCGTCAGTCACATCCGGCCGAAAGGTGGATGTTCTTGTTTGATCTCCGTATCCCAGTATCGATAGCATTCCCATTGGAAGGTTCGGCAGGCATCGGATTCGTAACTGATTCCGCCCGAAACAAACAGGGGCCTTCGCTCACCCCACTTCGAACCCGGGGTATGGATGTCTTGGCCACGACAGGCAGTATCGTGAACTGACTGCTGCTGCTAGACTCGACATGCAACGGCGTTGGTGGTGGTGGTGATAGTGTCGGAGGTGGTGTTGGTGTTTGTCCTCCATGTGGCCTACAGCAGGTACTTGCTAACCCTTCACATCGTCAGGCTACATGACTCGTGGGTGACATGACCCCACAGCAGTATCAAAGCTGATCGCATCCTGCAAGGGACGCTACATAGCGTTTTCTTAGAGTCATCGTAGGCTCAGTCCAATTGGGCATGTCCTTTGCTTCTGCCTGAGAGCCCCTCTTTTCAACCGGCTCAAAGCATGCCTGGCTTGCGGCCTGAGAGGGCAATCCTTTCAAGTATAGACTATTCTACACTCACCTGAGACTTTGTTCTGAGACGGTGTTTTGTTGCCTGACCCCTGCTTCAATCCCGGGCAGCTCCAGGTAGCACATGGAGAACAGCCACCGACGATAATGCCCGAGATGACGTTGCTATGCTGGGAGAATTATTCCTTGACATTTGTTTAGGTTTTCATCTAAGGAAACAGCAGTCCAGACATGTATGCATATCAGTCATATGAGCCACACGTTATCTGGCGTTAGGCAAATGCCAGAAATTGTTTTTCGCAGGCGGAGGGCTTCACTGCGCATGCCTGAGGCACGTCTTCGGCTAAGCGCAAGCCATCGCAGCGTCACATTTGAGACCAAAACACCTCATCGTGTATCCTCGGTTAACGGTCTGAACGACGAAATAGCCCATGTATCGTCAGTAGTCAGCAGTGCTTGCGGTGCATCAGCACGAACGGTAGACTAAAACCGTGAACCTCCCCCCCCTGCTGCATGTATGTTTCACGTGGGAACGCTCGTCCCGCAAATGACTCAAGTTTTCCACCGGAGACGACCCCCAACGTCCAACGAATAACGTTTTTTTCGTGGACTGGCGTCGTTCACGGCCGGACGCTTCACCATCGCTCGGTTCTTCTCCCAAGGACCGGCGCTCCGCCCGGCGTTGAGCAGCAGGATGTCGATCACTCCCGAGGTACACACCTTTAGCTTGCTTTACAAGGGGGTGGATCATACTGAGGCGTGGACGAGCTTCCGACGGTGTTCGATTGGGGCAGGGCGTAAGACATGCACGGCTTGCGGCTGGTTGCACACAACGGTTACGGTTTGCCGTCCTCTAGCAGCTAAGACAGTCGTTTCGCCGAAGTCGACTTTTGGCTCTTGCAGTGAGACTGCCATCCCTCTTCTGCGAATGTCTCGTGATTCCCAAACAAACCATGGATGTGGCATGCACTGCGTTGTGGTAATTACGTCTCAGGCAACCTAACCTCAGGTAGTCATGCGCGATGCACCCCTAGGTTGTGAAGGATAGCACCAGGAACGATGTGCGTGTTCGAACAACCGGCACTAGGTGGTTGTCTTTCCGCACGCTGTTTCCCAGTAGTCATCACGTGTACAAGTTCAACTAACGAAACCAGCGCGTACACTCTAAGAGGCGGCGGCAGTATTAACAAGCCGTTGCATCGGGGTTGAGTTTTTGTCATCAACTTCCACCCTGCTACCACCTTCTGCGTGTGTAGGATACGTCTCCAGCGGCCCATGTGCGCGCGTCCCTACACAGCCTAGCTGCTGGGTCGGAAATAGCTCGCTCCCAGGATGAGTTGATGGATGCCATCGCAGTTGTACCGCCCGACCTTGTCGCGGTGCGAAACATTCTGTCCACCATGCGGGAAGACCTTCGAAGGCCAGTTCTACTCTACCCGAGCGCCAGCACGAGGCACAAGCTTCGAACCCCGCTGATGGCAGCGGCCGCGACAGGCCAGATGCCGATCGTCGGTAAGTTTGGCGTGGAACGGAATTATCCCTATCTCCTCCCACACGTTCTCCCCCCCGGTGTTTGCCATCAGGGTTGGGTTTTCGTCGCTTGGCAACGACGTTGTAAAACAAGCCAATTCACTTCGTGAACTCGGCAACCAACTTACCGGTTTTGGCGGTAACCATAATGGTGGTCGAGTAAGTCATGTTGTGTGGGGTGGAGAATTCTCACTTCGCGCAAGGGGGATGATCGCACTGCGTTGTGTTAAATTGGTCAAGCACCCTCGAGGCAGTTACACAGTGCTTACAACTGTCTCTGGAA